TATAACTGTATAATAATAATAATATGCACAAATCGATCACAGTATGAAAATCATATAATAAATTGTCGATTCATACTGGTCATGGGCTTATAGTACGACAGCTTTCACTTGTCTAAAACATATTAAACCATAATATAATATGACGCGTCCTTTCATTTTAACGTTATCGGTGCAATTAAAATTAATTGGATGTGTAAATGTTTAATCATGTTTGAAATGTCAATTTTAAGCATTTTCAGTATTAGCATAATGAATACCATCTCATTACTATAATAATATAGTAGGCAGTAAGCGCTATACAACTCCAGAATTAATATTGTTTTTATGATCGTTTGTTTGCAGGAATGACATGGAGATGTGTAAAATCAACATGTGTTTTCGAAACTGATTTTGGGCTGTCAATCAATTGTGCTCTAAAAAAATCTGGATTATTTCGTGTGAGAAATCTTGGAGGCCTTAAAGGATACGTTGGACTTGGTAAGCGTACTCATCAAATTTTTGTATTTGAAATAATTTTTGGACATATATTTTTTTCTGAGCAATTAGCTCACATTAATAATGTGGAGGGGTTAATGTTTACAAGTTTTATTCATTGMCAACAGATCATCGACATCAAATACAATACAAACCATATGTCAATTAATTACAAACAATTCATAATGATGTCAAATGCATCGAGAATCATTATTAATTTATTAACAAAATTATTTTTTATCTGAAAAATGTCATTAGTATATTGAATTTAATATTACTAAATCAATTATAAGTGTTAATAATTTCTATATCTATTCAAAATTACAGTTATGAGTATTGAAAAATAGAAATCATTTTAGATAAAACATCGTTAGAGAGTATTACGCTTCATTTTTTTAAGAGATGAACTTACATAATCAACTTTGAATTGAATYTTCAAACTTTATGACTTAAGAAAAATTGTTATAGAMATGAATAGAAATAGTTCAATMATTTAAAATTAATTTAAATCATAGCTCAAAAGTTCAATAATATTTTAAATATTTAATATATCACCTAAACATTTAGACACTTTTGATTTAAATATTTGAAAAAAWWRKTT